GCCCCCCCCCCCGCAGGTGCGGCGGGCTGGGGCTGGTGCTGGCCAGCGCGGGCTTTGGCATGCTGACGGCGCCCATCATTGAGCTGCACAACCAGAAAGGCTACTTCCTGCACCACATCATCTTCGCCTGCTGCACGCTCATCTGCATCATCTGCATCCTGCTGCTGCCTGAGAGCCGGGACCAGAACCTGCCCGAGAACCTCTCCAACGGCGAGCACTACACGCGCCAGCCGCTGCTGCCGCACCGCAAGGGGGAGCAGCCGCTGCTGCTGACCACCAGCGAGCTCAAAGACTACTCGGGGCTACACGATGCGGCAGCAGGCGACGCGCTGCCCGAGGGCGCCACGGCCAACGGCATGAAGGCCATGTAGGTGCCGGCAGGCGGGCCGGGGCGCGGGGCGGGGCGGACGCGGGAGGCGCAGCTCGCCCCGCTGAGACTCGACAGGCGGCACAGTGCTGCCCGGCGTCCAGGGGGCGCTGGAGGAGACGGGCTCTTGGGAAACATCCCTTCCAAGACTTTCTTTTCTGCCAGGAAGCGTTTGTATTTATTTTGGTCGTTTTTACAGAAGCACTTTATTCCCTTTCCCTCTCACTGATCACGACATGGAACCACCTCAACCAGGAGCAAGAGGGTCACTCCAGGAAGATGCAGGAAGTGGCCCCGCAGCAGCCAGTCCCTCCCTGGAGATGCGCGCTGCTCCTTGCTGCCACCGAACCAGATGTCACCTCCATCGCCCAGAGCCCGCCCAGGCCGCCTGCTGTGTGCAGACAGGACTCTGTCAGAGCTTTCAGGACTGCCTTTTAGACAGAGTGAAATGAACATGAACTAGGTTTTTGCTAGAGAGTCTGTGTATGGTTTTTTAAGTCTTCTTCTTTCTGTGTGTGTAAGGTAAGAGCTTCCGTTCCATGTGTTGGGGGAAAGCAGCTCAAAGACACCATTAAAACCAGCTTAGTCTTTTCTTGGGATCATCCCTGTGTACTTGACGCTGGAGGCTGCTTGGGGAAAGCAGAAACATCTCAGCAGAAATCGTCAAGGAGCGGCAGTGAACCTAGCGACGGCATTCTGTTGCCAGGTTCGCTTTGTTAAGTTCACAACCCACAAGCCGTGGAGGCCTGAGGTGTGCTCGTTCTTACTGATGCTCTTTCCCTGCTGTGGCTCCAGCAGAATTCCCCTCTTGCACAGTCAGCTTTGTTGCCAGCACTACTTGAAAACATGGCTGCTCTCTGAACTACAAATAGGAAAACAACTCAAAAGGACGACTGAGGCTAAGCCCCAGGAAGGAGGCTGCTCCTCCACGCGCAGTCGGCCACCCGCATCTCAAGCACACACCACACCACGGAGATCACCAGCTTGGACGGCTGTCGCTCACTGATGTCATGCCAGGAAGCACTGCAGGAGCTGGTCCCCTCACGCCTTCCTCTGTCCGCCTCCTGCCACTTGTCACTCATTCCGCAGAGAGGTGGGACTCAGGACCAGGAGTGGAGGTTCCTCACAGGTGAGTCCAAATGACCTCCAACCTCTCAAAAGCATCAAGACAAACTGAGAGAAAGCAATAACTCACCAAAGTTCAGTTCCCGCTCCCACCCCGATCTCCAAGGGATTTCATCGTGTTCTTGTTTTGCCTCAGACAGTGAAGGTTTCCTCTTGGTGTTTTCCGAGGAAACCCGTGAAATACCCAGGGCCACTAAGGAACAAGCCTCCTTGGCGCAGGCAGGTGCTGCTTCGTAGCAACTTGGGCACCAGCTTTTCTGGACAGCCTGGCTTCTTACTCGAGTTGTCTGCCGTCCCTCTCCATGAAGCGCATCTTTGCCTTGGGCTGTGTCCTTCCAGAAATGTCATGGTCTTAGGCCTGGTTGAGGTGATCAGGTCACTTCCAGCTGACAGTGGCTAAAATTCAAAGGACCAGAAAAGGGGTTGACCTTCTGCCCTTCCAGGTTTCTACCCACTCTGCTTCTTGCTGTCTCCACTGGCCTGTCCTCCACATCTGGTCCTTACAGTGGTAGGAGACTGCTGACTGGTAAAGACACAGCGAGAAGCAAACAGAATTGTAGCCATGTGTTTCCAGTGGCTGAGCCATACCAGTACCCGGGGTCCCAGGAGGCCCATAAAGGCCCTGCAGTCTCAAAAGGGATGCTCTCTGGCCAGTCTCTTCCCACCTCCAACTGCTCCAAGTTCAACTCATCCTTACCTTCCCAGGTCTCTTTTTGAAGCCACTTTGTTCCACATTTCAATGTTAGTTTGCATTCATCTTTACAAAGGCCTTTCTCAAGATCCATGCAGCCTTCGCGTGCCAAACTTGTGAAATCTCTTTTTTTACTTTTTTTAGAGTACTGGCTACCAAATCACCTGGCAGCAGACCCCATTATGTACGGGATGGGACCTATCCAGTGGCCAGGCCAGTAGGCGGTTAGTGCAAGTGAGGAGGAGCCAGCAAGGTCCCTGGACCTGACCCTGGACAGGTGTTCATCCACACCCATCACCCCAGCATGAGGACATCGCAACCCACTTGCTGTACCATAGGGTTGCTAAGTAAAGGAAGTGGTGAGCAGTCTCTCACGGGCCATGTAAGCCTTTCTGAAGAAATGCATCAAAACTATAGGAAATCTCTCCATTCAGCACTCATAAATTTACAGTCCATGAGCTCTACCTTGAGGACTAATTCATCAGTGACTAGAAGAGAAGCCACCATTGAGGTCTGGGCGCTTGGGAGCAGAGTCTAACAGGTGTGAGCCAGGCTGCCCTGCCAACGGTCAGCCAGAAAGAGGCCCAGAGCCCTCCTCTCAGATGGACTCAGTACAGGGCTCTTGTTATGTTGCTGCTTCAGCTTAAGGATACCTGAAGCTCCTGAGGAACACTGTATGAAATGTAGCCAAAGCAGAAAAGCTTCCTGTGGGCAGAGCCTGTGAAATCTGGTGCCGAGTGAGCAGGGCATGCCCAGGCCTGACACGGGAGGCTCTGCGGCACTACCTGTCGTGCCCTTCAGCCTTGTCTTCTTCACGGTTGGGAGACTCCTTGGGCACCTGCTTTTTCAGTTCAGCCCTCCCACCCCAGGGAAAACATTGGAAGCCATGAGCTCCCTGCTACTATTCCCTACCCACCCCTGTGTCCTTCTAGCCTAACCTGTCTGGGATGCCCTTTCAAGAAAGTCAGGCACCAGAGTGAACACCTGAGACAGAGCTGGGTATTTCTTCATTTTATTTTCCAGAAGTCACTGATTCTTATCAACTACCTAATTATTAGCGCCTAAGACAAGGAGAAAAAAGTTTTCAATGTTTTTGTTTTCTAAGAATATCATCCCTTGCAAGTAGAGGACACAGGCTGGTAAATTGGTTTGGCCCCCGAAAAGAAAGCAAGCAGAAACAAGCCTCGTGAGGGAAGCATTGCCCTCAGACACTCCCACTTCCTAGAGTCACCCGAGCAACCTGAACTGGAGGTGCCACAAGCGAACCTGTGACGTCATATCACCCAGCCCCCAGGTGGTGCCGTGTGGGGAAGGCCACACGTCCACTGTCCTGTCTCAAGACACCACCTCACTTCCATGTACTGTGTGTTGTGTCTCATGAGGAGCACTTCCCTCCCTCTGTCCTTTCTGCAACCCAGCCGTTTGAGGTTTTGCCATGAGAACCGTGTTATTGTACGTGTCGCGGGGATTCTTCTGACGGTGCTCGTTCATAGCACAAGCTACATTGAGTTCTGAGCTGTCCTTCACAGCTGCGTGTCTGCATGGTGTCGCATCTGTTGTACCTTTGGGGAAAATTTGTATGTAAATGTACAGAAATAAAACGTTGCCCCATTAACAGATTTCCTCTGGAATGTCTTCCCTACCTCACCTGATGGTATCCAACGAAGGGCATTTCACTACCATTGATGAGAGTAATAAAATTCCTCCATGTTTATTCAGACCTCGCTGCATCAATACTTTTCTCTGTAAACCGTGTCTCCACCTGCCTTGAGGGGGGTGGTGGGTTGCCTCCCGCTCTGCTTTCAGAGTCCTAGTCGTAACAGGTAGTCAGCAGCAGAGACTGGATTAAACAAATTGTTTATCTAGTGCCATTCTCAGACCACCTGAGACATGGGGGTCATCAGTAAAACTAAGAGGAATTTTTTCTCTTGTTGATTTATGTTTTGATCCATGGTCTGGAGGTTCCTAGAGAAGTCAAGAGATGAGTATCTTACACTGTGATTCTGTGAGGAAAGACTGATAACCCAAAACTCTCTTCTCTAATGTAGTATTTTTTAACCAAAAAGATAATATTTCTTTAATAAAGTATTTATACCAAACTCTTCTCTCCATAGCCCTGATTTTGTGTCACTTACTATTCTGTCCCTAGAGAGGTGTCCACTCTGCTTTGCAAGCTGCGACTATACTGGCCGGGGCCTCAGAGACTAGCATGGGAAGTCTGCCAAGGAGGGAAGCACCTGGAATCCCAGACTTAATCCTCTAAAGTGCCTTTACACCCTAGCCAGTGTCATCACCCTTATTTTTCTAACACTGGCTCAATGCAAGACTTTTGCCACTGCATGAAACATGTTATAAGCCCTCAACTATCCCCCTCTAGTAACAAAAGGGTTCAGATGGACCCCAGAGATTTCTGCCAGTGGTCTTCAGCTTTGCCTGCATAGAGAAGCAATGGGAACTTTTCAACCCTGCAAGAGCCTGGACCCCAGACCACCTGAACTTCTGGGGAAAGGCCAAGACTGGAATTCAGTTCAAGTGGTAGATAGAAAAAGGTTAAGGAATAAAAATGACTAAAGCAGGTACCTGAGGTACTCTGGACTTGGGAGAAAAGAGAAGGGAAGATGATGAAATGATAATTGGAAGAGTAAGAAGGTCCTGAAGCATTGGAATCCACTAAAACGATGGCAATAAAACCACAGTTGACATCAAATTACCAAGGCACTTTAGCTTGCAAAGCATTTCTACGTTTTTAATCCTAACAACCCATCAAGGTGGGGATTATAACCCATTTTATAGAAGAGAAAACAGGGCCCAGAGAAGTTGGAGCCTTGACCAAGACCACAAATGAAGCAAGCAATATAGGGTGGGGCTCAAACGTAGGCCCAAGAGAGAACAGCAAGAAGGGTCCGGGGAATGATTTAGGGAAAGCACGGGCGAGAAGGGATGTGCCCTGGGCACAGGTTTAAGGAGCACACAGCAAGAAGGAAGATCCAGGGGAAGAGTTTAAGGAGAATACAGCAAGGGAAAAGACCAGGGGAAGGGTTTAGCTGAAATTGGAAGGAGATACACGCATCAATTTACAAGGCAGAATTCTTAAGAACATACAAACCCAAAGCATATTTATAAATTGCTTTAATTCGAATCAGGAATGTACATAACAGTCATGACTGACTTAAACTCTTGAGTTATTACATTTCAACCTTTAATCCCAACAAAATCCCATTTTCTCCCTTTTCTCTGTCATTAAGAAGGTGTGGTACCATGTCCTTCCACAAGTTGATCACAGTATATATTCCGGCTGACACACTAATGAGAAGGAAGCTCATAAGATGTATCTTTTAAAAAAACAATGTGAACGCAACCTGATGACAGTGAAATTCAATCCATTTATTTAAATGTATATTGTACATAAGTTACAAATTCTCACTTCTGCCACTCAGCTAGAACTTTTCTGGAAAAGCCTCCATTTCTTCCTTGATCCTGTTTTCTACAAGTAATGCGAAGTTACTGTCTGTGTTTTGAAGGTTATAGCTGACAAACACCTGTTTGTTGGTCTTCCTGGCTAAAAAGAGAAAACACATTGACACAGCCTTGCCTGAAATACCATAGGCCCCATGTTCCTCAAACCTACCGAAAAATACTTGGGAAAAGAGATCAGAGTTGTTGGGAGATAACAAAGTTCTAATGTTCATAACTTTCTGGACAGGTGCTGCATTTGCAGATGACAGACCCTCTCCCATCTCTATTGTGGTGGTTCCCAAGTGTGTCCCCACATCAGCAACATCACCTGGAACTTGCAGGAGACATATTCTCAGGGCCCATGCCAGACCTCCTGAGTCAGTAAGTCAGAGATCCAGGCCAGTGATCTGTGTTAACAAGCCCTCCAGGTGACGCACATACTAATGTTTGAGAACCTCTGCTCTATACAGAGAGATTTTTAGTGTTTTGATTTTTTTTTACTTCTTCAAAACACAAATAATATTAAAGCATTGAAAATAAAATATTAAAGTTCTCCTTCAGTACCACTTTCCCACCAAGTCCACCTCTCTCCCAAAGGTGTTCCTATACTTCTATACATTTACATGTACAAAATAATACACATATATACGTGTGTGTATATATGCCTATATTTATGTATATATACAGGCATATACACCTGTAATTTTCTATTAATAAAGGTTTTAGTCTCTCTCTACAGAATCTATAATAAACAGCTGAGCTGCACTTGTACAACTGCAAAAACCAAGCAGAGCTTCATGCCTAGCATATGTAAAACAACACAGTATCCTGGCAACAAGCAGGCAGGAGGCCTAAGCCACATCAGTGCTGCCTGTACCAGTGCAGGGCCTCCTCCATTAGCCTCACCCATACCCACGGCAGGTGCAGAAACTCCCACTCAACCCTCTCTATCACATGATCATGACCCCCTTAGCCCCTCGGCCTCATCACCAGAAAGCAGGAAGGCAGTGTTGCAAAGCTGGGGCCCACCAAGCCACACACACCATCATCAGGGGCTGGTGTAGAACACACGTCGCCAGTTTCATCCAGATGGCAATTCTGTCCTTTCAGCTGCTGCTGTTCTACCTGTGGTCCAACCAGGAACCCATCAGACAGCATGGCTCGGAGGGACAGGCCCAGGCCCCACCACGGCCTGGATACCTCTTTGGGCTTCATTTGTAAATTGAAGAAAGGTAGACCTTGGGATCTCAAAGGTCCATTTTTCAGCAGTTCAAGGCATTATGTCTCATTTTTATGGCTAGAAGGAGTCTTGGGTACTATTGGGCAGCCAACACATCTATGAAGAAAGTGAGGAGGATAGGCCCAGCCTCTGCCTTGAGGACAGCTGGGTGACTTGAATGGTATGTGAATTACATTTCAGTAAAGCTGGTTTTTGTGAACAGAGGCAGTTCCGTCATCCTAAGAGCCGGTATTTGGGAACAGCTCACAGTATTTAACACAGAGCCTCCCACCACTCTGCTGGGTGCAGTGTGCCTCCAAGGCAGTTGTCCGCTCAACACTGCAGGGAGCAGGGAGGCTTCGTGGGAAGCCAACCTCACACTTTCCTAGACGCATTAGGCAGTCTGGAATAACTAGTATAAGGATGGTGTGAGTCAAACATAGCGTAGTGGATGCTGGGACTCCCCACCCGAGAGGAACCCATCAAGTAATACCCAGCCATCTCCCAGAGGCAGGAAGGTCTCCTCTCCCCAGGGGGCCTGCTGGGATTTCAATTACTCTAACTGCAGACTTCTGGGGAACAGAGCTATGCCTGCCAACATCATCCTCCACTGACCCAGCTTTGCCCTCCAGAGCCACAAGAGCCGGGTCCCCTCAGCCACAATAAAGCCTCTGAAGCCTCAAGGGCTACTCACAGCCCCCAAGCCTCCTCTTCCTACTTGCTTCCATCTTCCAAGCAAGACATTACTTCAGGACACCTCTCCCTCTTCATTACTGAGATGACCAGCACATTCAGAGCTTGCTGGCAAACCCCTTCCTGATGTGAGCTCTGGGCACTGCCACATCACACTACTGACTTTTCAAACTACCAACAACCCTCATTTTTTGCATATTACTGATATTCTGAAGTCAAGTGTACTTTATGAAATGTATTCACGGCCCAGCTCCTACCACCCTTCTCTGTGGAATCTGTCACAGTATCCCCACCCAGCTTCCTGTGTCTACAAGGTATGTATACCTTCCCGAGTCTTCACCCGGCAGGCACAGGCACACTATGACATGCAAGACCCCTTACACACTGACAAACACAAGGTGATGCACTCAGAAGCAAAGGAGCCTCATGTTTTCAACTTACTTTCATGTGGTTAAGAAAAAAAACAGTGAAGTAAACTTAAAGAAAAGGGGACAATGGGAGACCTGGGTGAGGCTGGGCAGGAATTCTATCTTCTCTGAAGCTTTTCTGTGAATTTAAAATTACCTCCTAATTCAAAAGTTATCAAAATTACTTCTCTCTAACTCCAGGGTAGAGAAAAAATACCCTGCAAATTCCCAAACCGTTCATCTCTGCCCTGTGTGTACACAGATGTGGGTGCAGCAAGTCTGGAACACTCTGCTGGTGACAGTCCACCCTCCCCTGCCATCCTGTGCTGTGCTGTGTGTGTGCTCCCCAATGTGACTGGAACAGAGATTTCTACTTGTCAGGAGTCAGGCACATCCCTCACCCAGTTCACAGAGGGGTCCTGTGACAACTCCAGAGCTGAGCGCTGAGACCCCTGGAGAACAGGAGGCCTGAGCAGGAGACTGGTGCCCTGTGCTCACCACTCATGGGCTCTCAGGGCTGCAGATCACGGAACACACGCCCCCTTCTCTGGCCTACCAGGCATGTACAGGACATACCCTGTATGTATGTTCAGGGTGCGGGAGCAGAGCCTTCAACCTCACAGCCTTTGCTTAACCCTCACTCTACACCACTTTCACAGGACAGACCAGTCTCTCTCCTAGCTCGAAAGGGCATCACACTGAGAGTAAAGGACAGTCCTTCCTGCACAGCAGTGACACCTCCACAGGCGGCACCCAACCCCTGTGGAGTCTGGGAGGCCACCTGAAGCTACTCCCCACAGGGCACTGTGGGCATCCCACTCCCTCCTCCCATGAGGAGGTGATGCACTCACAGAAGAAACATCAGCTTATCAACTCAAGGACACAGCCAAGGACAACATGGGAGTCCCTAGGCCATGTGCTGGCCCTGAGGTAGTGGTACTGACATATGAGCATAGATGTGCCCCTGTAAAGACACGCTATGCAAAAGTTTGGCTTTGATGTGGGGACTGTTCTTGGTATAAAGATTCCTTCGTTCCAAGTGACTTGCCTCATGGTTCCATCAAACACTAGCTGTGGGTACATACCTAAGCGCTGGGCAAGGCCAGTTGAGGTCGTATCGGAAGTGTCCCCAAGGAGGGAGGTGGACACAGGGATGGGATCCTGAAAGAAAACAAAGAACACACTGTGGTTTCTCCACCTGGAGCCAGCTGGCCATGCTCCCCAGCCTCTGAGGCTTCAAGAGGGTGGCAGTGGCAAGTTCTGAGGGGACAGACACTCCTTTCCCAAAGGAAAAAGGGGCTGTCAGCATTCAACTAGGTTGAACTCCTGACATACACAAGGTCCATACAGCTGGGACAGGTGGAGAGAAATCACCTGACGCTGAAACCATGGTGCTGTTATTGAGTTCTAGGACTGAGGTCACAAAAAGGGCTTGTTTGGGGGTGAACACTCCAAAGCATGCTGAAGGGCAACATTACAGCTGAGGGATGCAAACAAGAGCATTAAGTCCACAGCAAGAAGAAAGCAAGTCCAAGAGGGAACCTATGCCTGGTGCTCTCCCCCATGGCAGCTATACCCTAATCGCCTCATCTCTCCTGGAAAACAGCACGCAGCTCCAGGCCCTGCAGGCTCATCTGGGTAATGTGAAGTCAAGAAGTGCCCTGTGACTTTGAGAAAGGTCACCAGCAGCCAGCATTCTGATGGCAAAAATAACAACTTCTGAATGTGCTTGGCCAATCTCATTTCAGATAAGGAGCAATAAAATGGAACAAGCAGTATAAATGATGTTAAAAATAAATAAATGTGGCCCTTCTGAAATCTGGAAGTAATCTTACTCCCAATTACTTTGGAAGTAATCTCTCTCACCATTAAAAGGGCCTAGCTTAAAAACAAAAACACCCACTAACTTGTAAAAGAGCCAAAATTGCTTTTAAAAATACTAGACTTCTGGGAGAAGAAGCTTGGGCTCAGAGGCCTGGGAGTCCAGGGAAGTGGCAAGGTTCTTGGAGGGACAGGGGCTTTGGCGTTTGCACCCCCGCCCCTGTTCTAGTGGAGACAAGTGAACTGAACAGACACCTGCTGTGTGCCAGACAATGTGGCAGGGCATGGGCCAAAGGCACTGCTCCTCGACTCCTAAGGGCTCAAAGCCATGTCCACACGTGACAGAACTTGCTCATGTCTATAGAAGGCATAGATCCAAAAACACAGAAATATGAAAGCATTTACTGCTTCTTAGTTGAAAAGGACACAAAAATATTGTCTCAACTAACCTGCTGTTTATGGATTTCAAGCTGTGTGGTAGCAGCATTTACAGTTAAACCTCTCCCTCCAAAAAACATCCACCTGATCGGTCAGGGTGGCCTTTTTCCACCAAAAGTGAAATGTAAAGCCCCATCATGTTACCCTTCTTAACAGCTCACTACTTCCGAAATCACACTGGGACTCAGGTCTCTCAGCAGACGCACACCCAGATGGCTTTGCTGCCACCTTCCACTCCCTCCAGCAGGTTGGGGGATCCAAGATTCCCTGAGGAGGCAGGGGCTCAAGCCAGGCCAGCTTCCCTCAAGCTGGTGCGACTCAGCGTCATCTAGTCCTGCAGCCTCTATGAGCACCAAAACGCCCTGCTCAAGCCAAGGCCCACTGGCCAGAGGAGCAGCAGGGCTTCATGGCTTCTGTTCTCAAGTCTTGTCTTACAAGTGCAGGTTTAGGGGAGAGGGAAGGAGGAGATCTCAGACTCTTTGGTGCCACTCTCCACATATGGCAAACTTCCTAGGGGGAACCAGAGAGTAAATAGTTTAGGCTCTTGGGGCTATAAGTTCTCTAGTACAACTGCTCAACCCTGCCATCAAAGCACAAAAGCTTAGCCAAGCATGACGGTGTGCACCTATAGTCCCAGCTACTAGGGAGGCTCAGGCAGGAGGATCACCTGAGCCCAGGAGTTTGAGGCTGCAGTGAGCTGATTGCACCACTGCACTGGGTGACAGAGTGAGACCCCTGTCTCTAAAAAAAAGTAAAAAACAAACAAAACCACGCACACACACAAGTGCAAAAGCTTCCACAGATTCTACCTGCAGGGATGAGCATGGTCATATTCCAATAAAACGTTATAACAAAAGTAGACAAGGGCTGGCCCAAAAGCCACAGGAACCTCTGATTTCCTGCATTAAGTTAAGGCCTGCACCTTTTTCCCAACTGACTCAGCTCTCTGCCCCTGGAGGAAACATCCAGGAATACAATGTGGGACTGGACTTCAGATCAGGTAACTGAAACCAACCCATTCCTTTCCCTGCCTGACCTTGGGGGAGTGTGACTTTCCAGTTGAGGAAATACAGCCTACTGGGAGCTGGGACCTCCACGTGGTCAGGCCATGAAAGCAGCCCACAGGAGGAGCCTACTTCTTACAAACTTACAGCCCAGACCAGCACCACACAATGGGGCTGAAATGAGTCGAGGAAGTGGCACCAGACACAAAAGTTGAAATTACAAGTTACTGAAACCTTGGGAAGAGGAAAGTAACATGAGGTGGCTCAGAGCACATGGACCCACCTGTCACCCTGTCCCCCTAGGCCTCCTCCACTGCTACCTGTCCACAGACCCACTTGCCTGGATCCTCCAGAAAAGAACCAAACATCCGGGAAGAGTAAGAAGGGAATGCATACCCTGTCTCCTTCCCAGGGCTTTCCCAGTGCTGTCATGAATGACAGAAGGCTCACCCCTGTGACTTCCAGGTGCCCCACCACCCTCAGTCATTGCTGCCTGACTGGCTTCTAAACAGTCCTCCGGATAGGCCTCACTCATTCATTCAACAAGGGCTTAATGAGCAACACATGAAGCTTATCAGACAGACAACCTCCCCATGGGACACCCAACTGCAGGGAGAGAGAGTGCTAAAGCAGCCAGGAGGCTGATGCTGCAAGGAAGGACAAGGAGGAGCTATGAGCTAATAGGGCCTGGAAGTCACTGGAGTCTCGGGACTGTGCTCTGAGTCACTCTCAGGAAACTTTTGAACAGAACAATGAAAATATCTGACTTCAGTCTTAAAACTGTCACTCTGCTGTCAAGATTATAAGGCAATATTGAGTTGAATTGTGTCCCCCAAAAGGAAATCTTGAAGTCCTAACCCTTGGGTGTCTATGAACACAATCTTATTTGAGAACGAGGCCTTCACAGATGCAATTAAGACGTAAATTAGGATGAGGCCATACTGGAGTAAGCTGAGCCTTGAATCCAGTATGACTAATGGACTTGTAAGAAGAGAGGAGGTTGGTCCAAGTGCAGTGGTCTCTACAACTAATTGATCACAACCAGTTACATATTCCATTGTTCCTTCTCCACTCCCATGGCTCCACTTGACTAGCCTAAAAGTAAATAAATAGAATTTTAACCCTTTGCACTCAGAGACACCTCACAGATCACCTAACAGCAACTCAACCAAATTTTTTTATGAAACAGTGAGAAACAAATCACTTTATATTAAATAGTATAGCTTTGGAACCAATTATTTTATTATAATAATATTTGGCTTACAATGGAATTTTGGACATTGAGGAATTTATTAATGATCAAAAAATCAAAATTTTATATCTACTATTTTTCTAACATGTCGCAACATGTGACAACAGTCACTGACATGCATTGCTGGTTCATTGATGCATGTTGTACAATAGTAATTTGTTTGACATCTTCCACCTGGTATTTTTCTACTCATTTTCTTCCATCCACATTAATGTGTAAATTACTGTCCAGTCTGCTGTTCAAAGACAATGTGGAAGGATGCACTTGTGATTCCTGAAAACCACTTCTCAGCTGATCAGAAACTGGACAAATCAGAAACTGGACAAATTTCAAGTGGGACACAGATTTGGGGGGGGGCTTTGTATGCTCGGTACAGTATATAGAGCTGATAACACTTACTTCTAGTCTCCAGAATAATTTCCTCCACCATTTTAAAGATTTTCACAAACAACTGTATGTAGAAGCATACCAATCCACACACTCCACACCACTCACATTTGCAATGTAATTAGGAATCATTTCCTGCTTTTTGACTGATAATGGTTTTTCAACCACATAATCTTCTTGTGGTAGATTTCATTCCTACATGATTCCAAGTGCTGAGAATTGGAATGATCCTTTTGTCCTTCCACACAAGAAGCGTAAAATTATTTTTCCTACACCCTGTTTTGTCTTGTTTTGTTTTTCATTTAAAACTTTGTCTTTTTATTTGTGCCGGTATTCCCTTTCAGTTGACTTTGATTGTAACCATAAGATGACATTTCATCTTTAGCAGCTCTTCTGCTAGGACAATACTAGTGTAATATCCGTCAGTAAACATGTGGTATCCTTCAGTATTGGGAACTTTTTCCAACAACTTTTTATATAAATGTAATAAAATTATGGTGCTTACTGGAAGATCAGGTCAAATCTTTTCAGATGCTATGCTGCCATAGTATGAAAGTACTGAAAAAAAGATACCCTGGTTTTTAATCAGCTAGCACATAAATGCATATACCCTATTTGGTAGTCTTATTTGGATAATTTACAAATGATATTTGCACTTTAAATTGAACAACAGATTTGTAAACATAAATTACCTGATCTGGGATGATATACCGCAAAAATTTTGAATCAATATATTCCAAATAATTACTGGCCTTTTGAATGCAAGTTCTGATCAGTCCATCACTGGACACAGGTGCTTTCAAATGAAGCAACCAGAAGACAAACCCTTATCTACTGAATGTTTCCAAAGAGTATTTTACTGTTGAAAGCAGTTGACCAGTACTCTTGCAAATTTGGTACTTGAATTATTCCCATATTTAGGATAACTGTAATAAAATCTAAAAAGTCCTGTCAGTCAATGTCATGCCACTTATGCCAAATCGGTTTGCATGATAGCTGTTTTTTCCCCTATTTTTTCATCTGCATAACGATTTCTTTCTTTTATTACACTATCCATTAGTCATTTGTAAAATGCAGAGTAAAATAGTCAACCGTTTCTCTTATATTACTGCTATTTATGGTCCTGTTGTTTGAGGATGTACAACAAAATCTATTCTCACTGGAGGATCATCTTTTTCTGTAACATCTTCTCATTCTTCACTTGATATTATTACTTTCTATTATATTCGCCCGCTTTTTTCTTGGTGAGATATCACACTCACTACTATCATTTTCTTCCACACCAATGCTTATATCTCTAACTTATCTGTATAAAAGTCTAACTCATCTTCACTGCCGCTTGTAACTCTCACGTTTGTCTTTTCATTTTGCCCTTGCTCTGCAAACTAAATAAATGGATTAAAAAATTTGAACTGTAAATTACAAAATCATGAAGTGAAATTTATCAAAAGAATATTACTTTTCCAATTTGACTTTTCGAACTTAGTGTAGATAGATATATTCAATCTGTGCCACTCAATACTTCAGTACAACCTACCTTCAACTTCAAAAGTCTCTTTCTTTTAAGGCTACAGTAACTTGCTTATCTATCTTTTCAAGTTATGCCGTATGATACAAAGAGTCTAGCCACAGCTGCCTTTCTTTACCTTCTGTTACAAAGAAGTGTGGGCACAACTCTGAATGCATTTCAGACATTCCCTTTCTAAGTAATGCCAGCTGATCATTTTTTACATATATCTCAGTATATATTCCATCTCTTTATTTTCTTTTTCATGCAAATTGAATGGAAAACTTCAAGGAAACATACATTTCTGGAAATTTGCACTTGTATGAGTTTGTCCCGTATAATCACCAGCAATCTCTCTATATCCCCTGAGAAGGGACATCTGAGTGGTTTGCTAGATTTATGATGTCTCCTCAGAGGGGTCAGCCGAGTGTCAAAGGTTAAAATTTTTAAAAGAGAGGAGACACAGAGAAAGACATATAGGGGGAAGATGGCCATGTACCATTGGAGGAAGAGACTGGAACAAAGCACCTACAAGCCAAGGACCACCAAGAATGGCCAGCTACCAGCAGAAGCTGAAACAAAGGCATGGGATGATTTCTCCATGAGGGCTTCCACCTTGATTTCAGACATTTGGCATTCGGAACTGTGACAGAATAAATCTCTTGTTTTAAACCATCCAGTTTGTGGCACTTTGTTACAGCAGCCATAGGAAACTCACCTAGCTAGCAAAGAGGAAAACAGGGAGAGGAGAGATGATGTCACAGGCTTGGTGGGGGGGGGGCTGGGAGAGGAGGTGAGGGGGTGGAGTCCTTGTGCGCTCTGACAGCAGGGAATGCCGATTCACTGACACCCAGCATGTGGAGTGTGGTAGAAAGAGGACTCTGGGCTGACCGCAAGCTTCGGATCCTGCAGAGACAGGCGAGCCGTGGGAGGGGCAGGCTTGGGGAAGAGACCAAGACTCTGGACGCCTATTAGACATTCAAATGGAGACGCTGGGGTCCCGAGTTTTGGAACAGTTGTCTGTACCAAAGTTGTAAATAAACGTCGGTGTGGTCAAAATCCGAGGCGGCAGAAAGCTAAGAGGTGGTAGATGGCGTCCCCCAGCGCGCCACTGTGAAAAAATAGGCGCTAGGACACTACGGCCTAAGGACACCAGAGAGGAGGACCCAGCCCAAGGGGGACGAGGAGGGAAGAGGGCTCCAGAGTACATAAGGGACTCCAGGGAACACGCCGGCTCCGGAACAACCCGGACTCCCTACTACGTTACAAGGAAAGAACTCGGGAGACTCTGGGGACCCATAGGCACAGGATACATCCTAGGGACCCCACCCCGCGGTCTCCCACGCCTCCGACAGCCCCGCCGCCCGACCGGCACTCACGTAGCGGCTGCACATGGCTACGGCGAGGTTGCGCAAGTGCGGCGTGGCGCCCACCCACAGGAAGAGCGAGTCCGTCAGCCGCATGACGTGGAAGTGGACGAGCTGCTCCCACAGCCTCGCGCTGAAGTTATGCAG